TCAAAGTTATGAACTTTTTTTTGTTTACCTGTACAAGGAAACAGAACCTATTAATACTCAAAATTCTGTAATCAGGTCGAAACAGTGAATTAAGAGCTGAAATTTTTTTCTATCACTATACTCGATATCTATAATTATCACAGAAAGTTTCAGCCTTCTAACTCTAGTACTTGCTAAGTTATTGAGTTTTCGCTACTTAAGGAAAATTCCTGTGTTTTCCAAAGAGACAGATGGTAAGGAATAAAGGAATGTGATTTTTATGAAAACAGAAGACAAATGGCTTCGAAGTTTGATAGACGTTTGCGTCCATAGACACGTTGTTTTCCTTTAGTTTTCCTTTAGGACCGTCTAGAATTGTGATGGGGATATTCGACTTGATTACAGAATTTTGAGTATTAATAGGTTCTGTTTCCTTGTACAGGTAAACAAAAAAAGTTCATAACTTTGAAAGAAATACCATGAGCCCAAATCCTTTTAGGACTTTTACTAACTCACTATCCTCTATCAATTGGCATATAAATCATTGGAGTGTTACATCTTTTAAGATTCCCTCATTAGAAATATCTTTCATCAACACTTTTTCTTTGTTTATCTTAGATTTGTCCGTCAATCAAGTATCGGATCATCTTATCGATCGCCACAAAACAGACAAAATCCATTTAAAGCAATTCTCTCACTAACTCAAATTATTTACAATTTTGTTCGAGCTATACTTCGATTTTTTTCTGTTGTTCATTATAGTATAATTACTTTAAATGATACAATCTCGAGACTACCATTTTTTGTAAGATGGATCGTCAATGGATTGTTAGCTATTTTGTTACCGTTTCATTCAATTTATATGGCTTACATGTTATTTTATAATCGTATTCATCGAATATTTTATCCTATTTATCGTATTGGCAGTTTTTTTCATTATATTCTAATGTTTTTTATCACACTACCGTTTCGTATAATTATGAGCATACAAGCAAAAACAAAATCTTTACTAGTTACTTTATTTGTATTAATCACAATTGGTATCATTATTGTCACATTCGTTTCTCTATTTTCTGATGAAAAATATTATGCTTATTTAAAATCACGTGTAAAAAATATTACTCATAGTGAACATGACTCAACAATACTGTAGATTTATGTTTTGCTAGTCAACTGAAATGTTTTCTGTTTGTTTTTTGTGTATATTTTACTCTTTATCAAGAGTGTTTAGAATATGATATTGTATATAAATTTCAGACTAGTTGATCCAGTCTTCACTGTTTTTCGAATACTATGTAAAATATTCTCAGTTTTTTTTGTTACTTTTATTTTAACTTCCTTCTCTTTTGTAAATGAAGAATTTCTAATATAAAAAAAAAGAAAAACATGGCATGAGACCTTAAAATTGAAACAAGTGTTATACTTTTTAATTTTTTTAACTACTATCACAAATAATTCAAAATGCACTTGACAATTAAACATAAGAAAAGCAGATATATTTCTTTCAATTATATGAAGAAATAAATGGAGTAATACAAGTAGTCAAAATAAATCAAAATATTTATGCGCATAGGATCTTCGTCTACGCAGGCACACTTTCATCACAAAAATAATTTGTTAAAGAAAAAACAAAAAAAAGAAGCAAAAAGCATCAAAATTCATTGAATAAGAAAGAAAGAAAAAAGTTTTACGAAGAATCTCATTGAAATGAATAAAAACCATGTATCTTTCAAATAATGATATGTGAGTATTCAAACAAAGAAGAAAAAATATTGAAATGTAACAACATTTAATTCTCGTTTTTGTTATTGTTCAAATTAGATCTTTAAGATTTTGTCATATGATGAACATAGACGAACATGTTGACACACGTACATTGAGTAGAAACTAACTTTTACAGCTTTTGTTTTAAACATCATAATATACACACACACACACATACAAAAAAAAGAAAATATATAATTCTCATAGATTTTTTAACAAAACATAAATCGTGTTATAAACTGTTAGTTTGTAGAAAAAATATGTCTCAACTTAGAACTAAATCCAAAAGGAGAAAAAAAAATCATTCATATATATTAGACTGTATGTATCGCGAATAGTTTAGTGGTAGCGTATTGAACAAGGCAAAAATGACTGTACTAGGTTCGATTACTAATTGAGGCATTACTTTTTCTCTAAAACAACATTAGACAAAAAAAGAATGCAAAAAAAAAAGATGTACAAAATAAACACAGAACCATCTCTAAATTGGCTAAAAGTTCAACTTGAAATAGTGTCGTTGATATATTCATTGTTAATTAATGATTAATGTTAATTGTATGATTTTATATTGTTATTCAATCTAATAATAAATAAGTAAACAGAATATAGACTATTGTGTTTGATAAATATTTTTTAATTTGAATATTTAATATTTAGTAATATCAGAACAAGATCATTGTTTACTTCCATGGTAATTTAAACGGTAACTTTTCAGTAATAGAATTAAACGCATTTGAAGCCATTTTAACTGGATCAAAGCCTATAAATTATTAATAGGAAAAAAAAATATTTTTGATGATACTTTTAACGATATAATTGGCTTACTATCATCATCATCAGGCAAAAACAGCGGTCCTTTCTTCTCAGATGTTATTCGGCCATCACATGGTGGTGGAAGTTGTGCAGCTGGCTCTTCTTTCTTTTTAATATTGTACTAAAACCGTTAAAATAATTCAATACTTATTGTATCTCGAAATTCAAAGATATGTTCTTAATCAACCAATGCATATCTATAGAAAAAAAAACTCACTTTATCTCGAATTTGTTGTCGAACTTCTTCTCGTTGACGTTCCATTTTCGCATATTTGGCTTTTCGTTTTTCATCTGCTTCACGTCGTGCTTCTGCTATCTAAAAACAAATAATCATAAAAATCTATATACAAAATTTTTTTGTAACAAAAGAATAGTTTAAAATCAGAAAATCGATTAGATATTGTATAAAAAATAAATACTCTGAACGTATTCTATCTTTTGTAATTTGACTTTCAAACATTTTAACATATAATTATTTCATTTGGTACTCTTCATTTTCTTTGATCTTTTTTTTTAGTGTAAAAATGTCATTGGGGTGGAGTTAAAACCGGAATTGAACTCACTTAGTTTTGTTTCCTACGGAAATTTTAGTTATCAATCAATTTTCTTATTTATTTACTTACTTTCTTTTGTTTTAAAATTTATTAGGATCAGAAAAACAAAATAATAAAGAAAAGAATGTCTATTGTTCATTGACAACGGAAAAAGATTCATTCTCATGAGGCACGGAAGAAATGATAATGATACGTCAGACGAACAACAATATTTGGCATATATACTCAATTCATGTCAGAAAAAAAATGCAATGTGATAATAACTTTGATTTAAATCTATCATTCTAATATGGCCTTAAGTAACATTTCTCTTTATTTATTTCTTTTAACTACTAATGCAATCTATAATAGAGATTATTATACAAGATTACTTGTGTTGATGACAATCTCCCACGCAAGTGACTATAAAATGGCAAGTCAATTTAGTAGTTATATACAAAAAAGAAGAAAAAACTAAAAATGGAAAATTTCATATCATAATATGTGCCACTTAAAAACATTTTAGTAGAAGAACAAAACTAAAACTACATATTTTTTATTTTTAGCCATAAGTTTTTATAGAGTTTGATATTTGATAACAAAAAAAAATAAAGTTACCCGGTCAATTGAATCAGATAATAGAGTGAACAAAAACTGTTCTATTATGCATGCTCTTGAAAACGTGTATTAACACGAAATAAGTAATTTTATTAGATTCACTTCAATTGTTACCTTTATTACTTATATTACACGAATACTAAAATTCTCCTAGTGAGTATATAGATTTGATAGACCAAAACAAAAAAAACAAAAAAAAAGAATTAATCACTCCGTACTACATTCTTTTTCATGACAGAAAATTGATGTTTTTCTTTTTTCAACTTTCAATTGTAACAAATGATTACAAATTCAAACATTTACGCTTTTTTTGATAAATCTTTTAGTAATGAAGTTAAAAAATAAAATTATTAGAAGAAAAAAATGTATATAATTCTTGATAAATATACTGGTTTAATCTTATTGAACTATTTAATAATTTACTGATAAAATGATGAATTTGATTTAGAAAAAAATATCATGTAAAACAAAAAGAAAAATAAATGAATAGAATGACGAAAAAGTTATATAATTTATATTTAATGTTTAATACATCATGTTATGAAGAAATTAAAATTATTATTGATCTCTTTAATTTAACCGATGTTTTAATTTTTAATAAAATATTCACTTACCACAGGTTCAACAATTGTTTGAACCATACTTTTTCGTCGATTTGTTGGTGTTTGAGTTGGTGTTGAAGGTGCTGTTTTAAATGTTGGTACAAGACTAAAACGTCGAGGAGTAACTGGTGTAGATGTTGCCGAAAGAAAAAGATTTGTACCAAGTTTATCCATATAAAAAAAATTAAGTGTTAGACAAACGGTCTAACATATTCAATAATCACGTATATTAACTTATTATAGAGACGTTAAATTTTAACAATAAATAATTTTCATTGAACAATAATATTTTAGGAAATATAAAGCCATTGGCATTGATTGTTTAAGCAATTTAATAAGAATGTGTCGTTCTTCTTTTTTTCTTTTTTTTTTTTTTTATTAAAAGAGGATATTATTTATCGTTGAATAACTCCATGATCCATTTGTCTTCTATTTTCTTCTTTTTTTTTTTTTTATATTTTTTTACATAAGAAAATTAAATTGATAAATACACGAATATTTTGAACAAAGTTAAAGTCGTGTTAAAATGGACCATTACTCAGACAAGAATAAACCAAATATTTTTGTTTGAAGTTTAAGAATAATAAAAACAAAATCAAACAATAAAAATGGAATTTACGAAATATTATCTATGTTAGTTTTTTTGACGAGAAGAAAATAGAAAAACACAAAAAAAAAATTTGAATACGATAGGGCTATCCTCTCGTTTTCTCTTTAAAAATAGAGAGAGAGAGAGAGTGAAGATGAAACGCACAGTCTGTCCCCCCCCCTACATATATCACTTTATTGCACACAATTTTTTTTCTTCTTCTTCATATACTGATCAAAAGATATTCAAAGACGTTGAATTTTTTTGTTCTTGCTTTTTTTTTTTCAAATTAATTCATTAGGTAAAAAACAAAAGAAACGAATTGCTTTTTCTTCTTTTTTTGACAAGAGGGTGATAGAAGAAAAAGACACTTTAACACAAAAGAAGTAACATTATTTTTTATATGTTACATTGACGTTATTGCAATGTGTTCATTCTCATTATCTATTTATGGAATTTAACATGGGTTGTAGATATTCGATTCATTTTTGCTTTAAAATACGAGATAGTTTATCATTCTTCTTATTCACATTTGAAAACGGATTCTTTTCTTAATAATAAACAAAAATTTTTATAAGAATAAAGCTTATATTAAAATTTTACACGGACATTAAACATAGGGTAATCAAACGGTTCATATGGTTCATGAATTTGATCAGGATACCTTCGTCATAAAGAATTTCTCTTGCTTTGTAAAACTTTTTGCATCAGTTAAATCAGTTTACGGGCTGAATTGATCGATTATCTATGTACTTTATACAAAAATAAATAGTACACGAATTACTATTTAGTTTTAGTTTTATAGTGTTGATGTCATCCTCTTTCGATAGAAACACTCTTAATCATAAAGGTACTTCTAAAACCGTCAAGCAATTTCCTTCTATTTATTTCATATGGGGAATATATATCTGAGTTCTAATTCTATTTTTTTTCTAAAACCAGCTACTTAATCTTTAAAAGTCATTGTTTACAGACGGCATGATGTCAGAAAAATGAGGTCTCTTGTTGTTGTCAGATCTATTACATGAAAGAGTATGTTAAAAAGAAAATACTTTCTTTTCTAAACAAAATTGAAATGCAATTTGTCGATAAGTATTCTCCCATAACAACACGTTCAAAATGAGAAAGGGTTTAATTATCATGAAAACTATACCTTTTTATTTACCTTAATGCATGTCATTATGGCACTTGTAAAATAAAAGTTTGGATAGTGGTAGAAAAAGAAAATTAGCAAAGAATAAAATCATAATCTAGATCGAGAAGACTCCATACACGCAATCAGTCTTCATTTGATTGAACACGATGGCATACCCAGTATCGTTTTAACATTGAGCAAATTTCCACAAATTTAATAGAAAAAACGTGAAGAGAAGAGGATTTAGAGTTTTTGCCGAAAAAATCATAAATTTTGAAAATTACATTAGACAAACGTTCAATTAACTCCCTCTTTTAAATATGTCACTGATTGGAAGTGATATCTAAGCATATTGCGTATTAATAATGTATATAAAAGTATTTATTTACACATCTAATATTGATTTTATTTCTCCATCATTTAATGTAATACATTTTATTTCATGTCACGTTTTCATTATTTAAAAAGAAGTGAATGCTAGTTGATTATAAAAGCAATTTCTGTGAACATTTTTTTTCTCTCTCTTAATATGTAATCAATTTCAAAATAACAAAAAAGACAAGATATTTAGTCCCTTGTTCACCTGGTGTGACAACAACAATAGTAAATTGTTGTTATATATATTATATACAAAATCTTAAGTTTTGTTAGTATTCTCTAATAAATCACACCAGAAACTCAAATTGTTTGAGAGACAAAAATATAAACATTTCTAGTAGATGGCAGCACATGAGCGTCCTATCTGGGAGAAAAATGTTATGTGGTTATAAAATATCGACGTAAATACAGGAAATCTTTTGAATGAGAATTCCGATAAGGCCATTGACAATCTCACAACTACTATTTTTCCATTATTTTCACCATTTATTTGTCGCTATTAACCAGCACAAAGACTCTCTATGATAATACGTTCGTCGCTCAATGACCTTTTCATTTTATTTGATGTCACTACGTGACGAACTCAGATACAGTAGAGTTATACAAAGACTACAGGTTAATGTGGTGCATCTTTAAACTACTGTTTTGAGAGCGTTAAGAAAGTTTTTTCTGCATTAAACCGTTCTTCCTCATTACAGAAAATGTACATCTTACAAGGAAAGATCCTCAAGTATCCGCTCCTTTTTTGCTGCAACACATTTTTTATGACTAATTTATAATGGAGATTATAAATCTGATATCTGTTGGTCTATTATTAGACTCTTCCTGAAGAAGCCTCAAAATGTCAGATATTCTGAGATCCATCATGAGATTTATAAGGAACAGAGTCGAATAATGTCAATGTGTAGAGAATATCCACTTGTCTATGTGAACAGATCAATAGAACTAACAAACAAGCTTTCGTAGAGTTGAAGAACTATCAGTAGACAAATGGGATCGAGATAAAAAGTTACAAGTGCTATAACACTACGAAAGCCTGTTTGTTAGCTCTATTGATTTGTCTACATAGACAAGTTTCGAAAACCTTTCCTTGTAAGATTTTCATTCCATGAGATCTCTTCAGGAAGAGTCTAACAATAGACCAACAGATATCAGATTTATAATTTCCATCATAAATATTAGTCATAAGAAATGTATTTGAGTAAAAAAGGACAAGACACTTGCAGATCTTTCCACGTTAGATGTATGATCATCTGGAAATTAGAAAGAAGCTTTTCAGACATGTTTGAACAAATAAGTCATCCAGACCGATAGACATTCTCCATTTTAGGTTCAAGCTATGCGAGAAAGATCGAGATTAGAAATGAAATAGTATACATACGTTATAAAGAAAGAAAGTTTTACCTCCGGATCTTCTTCAGCTGGCGCATCCGCTTTCTCATCTCCACCAGCCAACTCTAAAAATAAAAAAAATTATTCAACTTTAAGAGAAATTTTGATGTGCAAATATAAGAACTAAAATTCTATCAGAAAATGAAGATTACACTCGGATCCACCTATTTCCTACTGTCCGTTTTATATTGTTTAGTTCAACGGTGATCCGTTGCTTCGTCGACTCACTTATTGCTCCATTTTGGTTTGTCTTGTCGTTTTTTTCATTTTTGGCTACGCTCATATTTACTGTCGTTCTAGGCTCTAATTTAGTATTTTCATAAAGTAGTATATGATTTCAATAATGCTTATTCCTTGTTCAATACAGAAATTAATCTTTGTCATATTTTAAACATCAATCTATCATCAATTTTTAAAAGCTCAAAATAAACAAATTATTCACTTATTCTCGAATTACAAATGAAAAGAAGCAGTCAAAGTCTAGCTGGATAGAAGCCTTCGTACAACTACTAGTGATGATTCGATAAACAACATCTTTTTCATCCCTTTCTATATTTATTTTCTCTCTAGGTTCCTCATACAGTTCTTCTTTTCCTATTACTTACATTGTATATTAAAAAAATAATTTTTTTTCTTCATTTCAATGATTTCTATTCCATTAAAGATGAGAAAATCATTTCTCTATCTCTCTCTCTTTCTCTTTGTTTTTGTTTCTCAGTGTTTAAAACGAATATGCGTTGAGCATATTATAAATATATGTCTTTAGACATTAAATTGTTGTCTAATCAAGGAAATTTCTCTTATTATTGTTCTTGTTATTACTATTACTAAGAGTTCAATGAACTATCTCTGTCATCTTCTACTGATAAGCCATTTTCAATTTGATCATTATGAGGCTAATAAGAAAAACGAAGAGAACAGAATTTCATCAACAGGGAACGTTTTGATTAAAAACGAATCTCTATTGAAAATAGTTATCAAGATAATCTTTTTCCAATAATATTATATACTATTAAAAAGCAATAGACTCTGACCTTCTATTACTCACAACACTGTATATAATATTGATCTTAATGATTAAAAACGGATCTTTTTAAGAACAAACAAACTGATGATCTGAGATATCTATATAAATGATTCAATAAAACGAGACAAAATAATTGTTGAATTTCGGTAATGATAATATAGTATAGTAGTCAACTATAGACTATAATATATTATTAACGCAAAATTGGTACCCTGTGAAATGAATTTTAGTCACTTTCATATTAAAACTTTGAAGACATTGATAAACAAGCAACTAACGTCAAAAATTAAAAGATAAATAAAGCTAGGAAAAGAAGAAAATTAATTGTTTAACAGTTCCATATATTCTTCTTCAAAACTACAATTTAATATTTTATGGTTTATAATTCAAAGGCTAATGTTGAAAGATTCTGTTAAAAAGTATCTATATATCACAAGGATTTTAAAATATAAAAGATATAATCGAAAGTCCCAGCATGTTTAGTTCGCATGCATCAATTATTACAGCGCATACTAAGTTACATCCGATGGAAATGAAAAATTTTCAAAATCTTCTGACTAAACGAAGTTGAAGAAAATAAGTTATATAATAAATTTAGTGATGGTTATATTTTGATTATTTAACCGTAATACAGCACAGGCATTGAAAAACTTATAATCAGAAAAACACTATGATTTTTTCAACGTCAAAAATTATTATAACAGACATAAACACAAAATTGTTATAGCAGAGCAATCAGTAACACTTACCAAATATTTACGTATTTATTAATTTGAGCTATGACTGATGAATTGAACTAATACCCATTGTACAGACAGTATGAAAAAGCTATCTACAATCATTAAAAGTAGCTCACAAACTAGTCCAAAAATAATTGAGAATAAACACGCGTATAATTCAGTAAAAAAGTCCTTTTTCAAGGCAATACACTGTGACATTTACTATGCGATTTTGAAAACAAACTTTTTAAAACGTGTAATTTATTATTAACGTTCTAAAACAGTTCATGTCGACCTTTAATATTTTATATCACAGTGAACGTAAGACATAGTTTCAAGGTGTTATCGGCTCATTTATTTTTTGCATATATTTGAAGATAGAAATCCTATATGACCACAAATCTTAGATAGGTAATAAATTTTTGTTAAAATACCTTGCCTTGTTTTTTCCTACACATGCCCATGATAGGGTAGCTGTACAACAGGAGTATAGTTATCAAATTTATGATATTTACAGACATTCGACTAACGGTTCTTGTAACCGTTTACTCTTCAATAATTTAAGTCTATTACTTGTCTACGAGAATTAAAACTAATAGTAAAAATCATTTGAGCAAATTTACTGTTTTAATTTTCATTAACAAAAGTCAGAGATGGGCAAGCCCGATCATTTCCAAGTCCAAGTCAAGTCTAGATCTAAGTTTTATAGTGATTTCTGCACTATGCATTAGATCCTAATCATATAAGACGGATAAATAAATTTTATCAATACATTAGATGCATGTTTCACAAAAAAAAGATTAATAAATTAGATATCAAATTCTATCCATCCGTTGTTGAATATAATAGATTTTGACTGTTTGAACTTCAAACGAACCTGATAAAAAAATCCTCAAGTCCAAGTGAAGTTCCGTCAAGTTCGGACTTGGACTTGTCCACCCCTGATAAAAGCATAGCTTTTTCTCATATGACTACTTCCATCTCTTAAAAACTTAATCCTTTACCTTTAACTTTATCGAGCTGATTGCCCATCATTGTCTTCATAATAAACGACGCCATGTTTACTTCTTTAACTAATTTTTGTCAATAATAGTTGATTAAGTAGTGAAAATAAAGTTAATAATGGGCCAACATTTAATCTTATTCTTTAACATGAATAATTATTATCTAAAAAACAAAAACAAAATTCAAACCACGTTTAGTATCTAGTAATTAATTAGATATAATTCTAAAGAGGTAACTTTGATTTTTCTTCTGATAAAAATTACAAAAGTGTTAGTACTAAAACTGATTTACAATAAAGAAAACAAAATAGATTCTTAGCATATCTCGTAGAAAGTTTGTATAAAATAAAACTTTAACTAGCGTTTCTGTAATTTTATTGTTGTTTTTATCAAAATGTCTAACTCAATGTGACTTGCACAAATCTGCCCTTTTGTTGTTTGGTTGAAAATAATCGAGAAGCTCGTTAATTTGACCTCGAGTGACTCTTCGATGGAACTTCTTGAACAAAAGCCGATAATGTGCTTTTCGATTGCAGGACGCCCGTAGCGGTCATTTTGACCGTTTTTTGATTTTTAGTCCTAATGAAACAAACTGCATACAATTTACTTAAAAATAAATTATGTCATAACTTTTAATTTATCCCACAAAAATCAGTTTTTGCAGAATTTTTAATTCATTTTTGAGTTCAAAACTGTTTTTAATTATAAAATTAAAAATGAAAACAGTAATGGTCAAAATGACCGCTTTGGGCGTTCTAGTTCCCCGGGCATTCTAGTGTTAAGGCGTTTCAAGACTAATGAGAACTGTTCCAGATCCATTGATATTATATCTTAGTTTTATATTTTTCGCTGTTAGATCAAGATTAGAAGTCTTATAGGTTGCTCTTAGAAATAAAATGATAGTTCCGTAAAAATACACTAAACTAATTTCAGGTAAGGAACCACTTTTTAATATACAGTCATTCATTAGTGTTTTATCAATGTGCAAAGCTATATATTGTGCTCTTGTTCAGTAAATGTAATTTTCCATTGCCGTATTTTTATATATTAATCAAAATTAAGTGTTAGCGTGTCCTTTAAAAAAGTAGTCTAAAACAAAGTGTGTTATCTATTATCTATACTTTTGAGTACCGGCGCATTTGATGTTTCCAGTATCAGTTTCTAGCGCTGGCTAGAAAACACGAGTAGATACCCGACTTATGCCTAAAAATTTTCTCCTTTTCGTTCTCCAGCTAAAAACTTTTGTTTTTCGGCTGGGGGTGACAAATTCGGGGGAAGAATTACGTTCTCAAGTAACCGTTTCTTAAAACTTTATGTATTTTTCCACTAAAATTTTGCGGTTTTAGTTCGGTTGAAGTAAATAAAAAAAACGGAACTCGTATCCAACTTTCAGGTCGGGTTGAACATCTCTTATTAGAAACCGCATAGACGAGAACATCTATAATTCTAAGCCGACAATCAAGTATTTGTACCAAAGTGAAGAAAAATGTGTTAAATAAATTAAAACATCTTGTCCGAAGTCAGAATCCATTAGATGCTATAATCAGTCTTGGGCGCCGACAGACAGTCGATTTAAAACATGTACAAAATAGCGAATATGGAAAAGACGTAGAACTCACGAGGGAAGGTCACCAACTGCCACCTCGCTTTTTAGCTCTAAGCTAGTGGGTAATAGGTAAAAAAATGTGCTGAATCCGAATATGACAATGGTTTGGGCCGCTAGGCCTCCAAAGACTGGATTTCT